AGCCTATTGCTGGGAGTGGGGGTGTGTGATGGGTGTGCCGTTCTATGGGCTTATGAGCAGGTGGGACTGCAAGACCCTTGTCCCAGTTTGAAGTGCCCCCCCCCCCAACCGAAAGACAGCCAGGTGGTGTGATTTCTGTGTTCCTGGATATACGCTGAATTCTGGAAAGAAACACAACTGGCTGTCAGGAGGGAAAGACAGGCACAGGCGAAGGACGTAATCAAGGGGATAAGAGAAACACACGGGGTGGGGGTGGGGGGAGCGTAGGAAAGCCTCAAGACAACCTTGTGCAACATTGTGAAATGGGCACCACACACGCAAGGCAAAGCTGTCATCGGCAGACAAAGTGCTGAAGGAAGCCGCGCAACGCAATCCTTCGCAATGGAAAGGGAAGCTCCCCATGTCCACGGGGTCCCGATGCCACCCCTACACTGGGGAAGCAGCTAGAGGAGTGGCACGTCAAAAACGACCACCTTCATTATGGGTTTTCCTGCAAGGCACTTCATTTTGAGAATTAATTTCCGGCACAATCTTCAGGTTCTGGAATTTCAGCATACGAAACCCATGCCCCCCCCCCTTTTAAAAAGTACCTGAAATTAAAATGGGAGTGTTTTTTTAAGTGCATTCCCTGTAAGATGACCCCATGACTTTAAAAGGGGACTAGACAGATTCATGGAGGTGGAAAGGCCTGCAAATGGCCATTAGCTATGATGACCAAATAGAACCTCCACGTTCAAGGGCAGCAGTGTACTCGATTGCCAGGTTTTTTTTTCGGTGTGTGTGTGTGTGTGTGTCACTGTTGCCTTTATTCCTGGCTGGGGACTTCAACTGGTTGGTTAGCAAGGGAAACAGGACACTGGACTAGAGAAACCTCTCGCGTGATCCCAGTAAGCCTCTTTTTGTGTTCTCATGAAGGGTACAGGGGCACTTAGTTATTTTTACAGAGGGTTTTTAGAATGTTAATCAGGGACCCCACTGCTTCCTCTGCATCTTTAAGTATGCCACTGAATTATTAAAGTGTGTGGGAAGGAGACTGCAGGGTTGTTGTTTTTTCTTAATGTTGAGGGAAAGGCATTCTGTGCACGCCCAGAAGTATTTTTCCTTACAGAACTCAGGCTGTGCTAAAACAAGAGAAGAGAATGGATCTATACCCTGCCCTCCACTCCCCGAAGGAGTCTCAGAGCGGCTTACAATCTCTTTTTCCAGAACAGCTCCGAGACAACTTGTGACTGACCCAAGGTCACACCAGCCGCTGCATGTGGAGGAGTGGGGAATGAAACCCGGTTCCCCCAGGTTAGAGCCTGCCTCCCTCCTGCACCCCCCCTCCCCAAAGGAGTGCCTGGGGGCTGGATGGGGAGTCGTGGGGGCCCCATTGGCGTTGAGTCAGGGGGCCGGGCCCCGGCATGCCCCACTGTAGCTACAGGCCTGGGGGTGGCCAACCCCCCTTGCCAGAAGGTGGTGGGGCTCTTCAGTGGGTCATGGGGGGGGGGAGGTGGCGGGGGCTCTCTATTCTTCGGTAGCGCTCCATCCTGTGACCAGAGGTCCTGTGGTGGTGGGTAGAGCTCTGGATGGGGGCAGGTGAGTGCAGGCAGGCAGGCAGGCAGGCAGGGGGGGCAGAGCGGGGGCAAGGGGGCCCTACCCCCCCTGAGCTGCTCCTGAGGGGGGGGGGCGGCGGCTGCCGAAGCCAGGCTGG